TAAGAAACCAGATAAAAATTCATTAAAAAAAAATTAACAGAATTTCAAACAAATGAAATATTTGCAAAGAAATTTACAACAAACAGATAGATTCAGTACTACACAAAGCAAGCAAAATAAGTACAGTTAAGTTAACGTCACCCATACGTTCCGCACATCAAATATACAGCTTAACGAACCCTTGCCTAAATATCAAAACATAACATTACATGTCCTTCAGATTTCAAAGCAATAAGAGCCAATAAAGATTTATTAAAGTATTTTGTTTTTTCTTTACTTTTTTTTCGATATTTAGTTTCGTTCTTCTTTTCACTTCAGTTCACATCTGTCGAAAATGCAGACGATAGTTAGAAACGCAATGACTAAGGGCTTATTCTCACTACCTTTGATCATCCATCACGCAAGTGAGATTGCTTAGAAACTGCATGCATGTGATCGCCTGTGCGAGATAAGGAATATTCTCACTTGCGAAAAACTCCATGATCAAGTTATCGCTCGCATAACCAGCATATTTAATATCAATTAAGTTCTAAAATAGCCAAAACTTAATAACATCTAAATGAAAGCAACAGAAACGTTTATATCCAGTAATTAGTTCGACTTGAACTATTACCAACAATCAGTTTTGAGTAGTACCGAATTCAAAATAGCTGATACATTTAGACATGAATAATGATATTAATGTATTTTAAAAGTTTAATTAAAAAGTTAAGGAGCATTCACACCAAATGCGGTTGCCGTATCTCCGATCACAGTCGAGAAAATATCGGAGAGACTGATTAATAAGACATATTTTCCGCGAAAAACTCTCCCAATTTCAAGATATTTGTAATCATAATCTAATTAGGAGGGGGGGGTTAAATGATTAAAATGTGCAGTCACTTAACCAGGGCCCGACTTAGCCTAATTGGGGCCTGGGGCAAATACTTCCTTGGGGGCCCCCTGCTGCTTCAGGACTTTAGCAATGAAGAACCGAACTTAATGGAGGCATTTAAATTTTTCACTTCGTTATAGATAACATAACAAGATTATCGATTAGAACCTAAAATAGCTGTAAAGTCCCTCCCTCCTCCGATGGTCAGACGAAATATCGTTCGTCCATTTTATTGACTGACAATTCCATGTCCATCATGACGACTGCTGTTTCTTGATTGTCATCTAGCTATTAAAAATTCATATCCTTGGATTAAGACGGAATTCAGCAAAATGTTCGCAATTACAATGGCCCAATTAAGCCAATCAAAAGTCCGTATTTTTGCAAACATATCGCATTTTGCAAAAATACAAGCTTTTGATTAAAAATACAAGCTTTTCATTGGTTTCGATTTTGAAAATTAAGCTGAATTACGTCCTAGAAGGCCATGGATTTACGAAATAGAGATTTTTTGTGTTCATACGATAGATTAATGAAGAAGCAAATATAAAACTGACTGATTTTGCACTGTACTGATATTTCGTTTAAAAAAAAAGGTTCATTAAAGAAGAAAACAAAAATAAACTTTCTATTCGATTTAGGGGCCCCCTCTAACGTGGGGGCCCAGGGCAACAGCCCCGTATGTCCCTGCCTTAGTCAGGCTCTGCACTTAACAGAAAACCCACACAATTATTCCTTTTTTTTTAAAAAATGTCAGTCGATTTTATCCCGCACAGTCACAAATATTCCCAAAACATCTTTGAGATAACTCTTGATCAAAAAAACAGGATATTCCCAAATCCAACGGAGATCTCAAAGTTATCTGAACATCCAGGGGCCCAACAGGTATTTGATCAGCATCTGATAGATATATGTGGCTTATCACAGATGTCCATGAGATAGCCTGTCATTAACAGTGATATCTAAGTGACTTATTCCAGGTATCAATTGTATACAATATGGAAACTTCAGAGATGTTCTTATTTGATATTTGAAATATCTTAATCTTTCAAAATCTTGATTCTACTAAATTTAATAATTTTATGAATAAAATTACATCTTTCACTACAAAATGTAGAATATAAATAAAATCCTGTTAAATCTTTTAATTTTACAGAACAAATTTATGAAATTTCAATTTTTTGAAAACAATTTTTAACTAAAAATTAAAATTTTCACAAATTATTCATAATTTATAAATAAAAAAAAATATCAGAGAAATATGGAAGTGTAAAATAAAAAAGTGTTGATGATAGAAATTCTTAATATTGAAATCAAGATCCTTCATTAAAAAATTGATTTTTGAAGTTTTTATTCAATTTTGAAAAATAAAAGTTCAATATCTTTAAAGTTCAATATTCGGCTTGGTGCATTGGTTAACTGAATGTTTGTTACAGGCCTATTACCAAATTACATAGTTAGCAAATGATAAAGAAATCTATGATGTACAGATCAACAGTCATAAATGCACAGAGGCACATAAATATAAAGATTTTGAGGAACAAAGGAATACTCATGTTTTATTAATAACCTACAAAAAATGACATTTCAAGTAGCTGCAAATAATAATACCAGGGGTCTGTCTAGGTTTTTCTGAGAGGTACCTATTTTGTGAAAATTTAGACATAATTTGTGAAAAATGAAAAATTATATTTAAAAATCCAACACAAAAATATGGATTTATCATTTCTTAAGGAATACAAAAATACAATTTTAAGAAAAAGTATTTTGTGAAACTACCGTTTTTCCTAAAATTAAATTTGTGAAACTACCTTTTTTCCTAAAGTTGAATTTGTGAAGGTACCGCTAAACGGTAGTAAATTCGGTCTGGACAGACCCCTGATATACACTTAAAAACTATTTTAATATAAGCTTTTCATAAACAGCTAAAAATTTATTTTTACAACGTAATATACTAACATATGTAATATATTTTTGAAACAAAAAGAAGCAGAATTACAGTCAAACGTTTTAATCTACTTCTGATGACTGCTCAATGTTTACTACTATATCATACGGTCTGTTGGGATAAAGTGGGTACATGGGGTAATGTTAAAAACATCTAAAGAACAAATCTACATAGAAATCTAAGAATAAATTTCAAAATTCTCAATATTATGAATTGTTTTCTGAAGATGGGGTAAAGTGGGTATGTGGTTAGGCTTAGGTAAATGTTGCATGATAGGAATATTTTTTTCTCTCTCTGTGTTCGCTTTAGTAAGTATATGTTCGGTATTTATAATGAAATAGCTAAAAAATAATTTGTTTGTTCGGTTATAGCCCTACAAATTAATTTTAATACTGAAAACAATTCTTTTCAAATTACATTTTTTAGAGAGAAGTAATAATAATAAAACAGACACATTACACAGTTAAAAAAATTACCTAAACAGCATAATGGTACAACTTAGTGAACACATTTAAAGATATATATGAGTTTGAGTTTTCACATAAGTTTCTGTCTTCACAAAGCAGTTTTTTCATAAGAAAAAATTTATTTTTAAATAACTAAATTGAATAAAAATAAAAGACTGTTATAAATAGTAAAAAATAATTTAAAATACCCCGATAGATATAAATTTTTACACTCTCATTTATATTTCAAATATACCAAAAACTATTACACTTTTAATGCTTTTTGTATAGAGTTCAACAAAATATACTGCATCCGAAGAGAAACCTAATTTTGATAGCCATGAACATTAATTCTTTAATTTAATAATGCAAAAAATTTTTTTTAGCATTTATTTTTTTAAAAATATAATCAAACATAATTATCAAGTATCAACTAATATAATTTGTTAAATAACAAATATTAATAATTTTTAAGCCGGAATCTGAAACAATTAACTCTATGATGAGAAAAGATATCAAGAAAACCAAAGAAAAAACAATGGGAACAATCAATGAATTACTAAGTTAACCTGACTGATGGAAAATAAGAAGGGCTGTCACTCTAGATTCGTATACCTACAACTCTTGAGGTTTTTATTTTTATACTATCTTAACATCGATTTAATCCGAGTATTTTAAAACAATATCATCGAAAATAATCACTCCAAACACACCAAAATTGTCTTGCCACAAAATTTTCAAGTTAGTTAGTAACAATCGCTCAAATAAAAAGACCTAATATGAAGAAAATCCATTCTTTTGGGCACAAGAGATTTGGCAAAAAAAAAAAAAAAATCGAATTACAAAACGTGACCGCCAATAACCTCATCTTATTTTCTTTGCTCAATAGCGGAGACCATTCATAATACGGCCATTTTAAGGAAAAAAACTCTTATGTTCCCCCTCATATTTTAATTCAATTTACTCCACTGTATTGGTATATAAAACACTAGTCCTTTTTTTTTTTTTTTTTTTTTTTTTTTTTTTTTTTTTTTTNTTTTTTATTTTTTTTTTTGTAAATTAGAAAAAATGACAAAGCATCAAAAAACTGATCACTTATTTTGTTATACACCACAATATATGAAGAAATAGTTGCTTAAATCTTTAAAAAGTTATAAGTTTTTTAAAAATATTTGCTTTTGGATGCTTTTTTTCTCACAAGTCTCCATATCTAAGGTTAAAAAATAAGTTGTTTTACCCTTGGAATTCCTAAAATTATTAAAATTATTTTTGACCATAAATAAAAAATAATAATATAAAATAGTTTTTTACATGAAATTATCTTTGGATGAAGTTTTTATAATCGAGTGCAAAAATACTTTGATTCACTTCATTAGTTCCACGATATAAAAAAAAGTGAAAGCATGTTTTATTTTAAACCAATAAGAGGTTTAAACTTTTTACCACTATCTTGACCAAACTATTGGAATCCTATTTGCAGCTTAATCCAATTTTCTGAAAATTCAAAATCCAAATTCGTAGAAAAAAAGAAAATAATGTTCATAAAGAAAAATTGCATTTTTGTGTCGTCTGATTTAGCAGCTTAAAGTAACAACTGCATAACTTAATTAGAATATTTAAGGTTAGGCCCTCGAGGTTAGATCCAAGCATGTAAAAATCAGATCATCAGATGCAAACTTGAAAAAGTTTTGACTTTTTTTCCCTTTACTGAATAAAAACAATCCAAAATTACTTAACTTTTATTCTCAAGTTTTATTCACAAATAGCTACAAATCATAAAATGCAAGGAAAAATATATACATTCAACATTAATCAATAATTAAGAATGTGAGTTTAACTCTGAGATGATTTTACAAACAAAAATCAGTTTATTAATGGTCCAGAGACCAATGCTTCTGCCACTCTAAATAATTGAAACAGATTTTTATAGATATGACTAACAGAGAGTTAAAACCATTTAATTTGAAGAAAATATATGTTGTAGTAAATAAATCAAAATTTATGTATCATGGTTATTTCTGAAAGTTTATACTGTATCCACCAGAATTCGGATCTTGAACCATTTTAAAATTATTGGTTGAAAGCCCAAATGGTTTTAAGCAAATATTTCCAAGGTCTTTGAGCTTTCCTGAAAGAAAAAAAAATGCAAATAAACACTCATAAATTAAAAATAAATAAACAAATAACCAAAAACAATATTCATCGATTAACGCTACCTAAAAAATATTTACGAATAATCCATGTTATATTTTCAACAATTTCAAACTTTTTTTATAAAAATTATGTTAGTCATTTAGATATGAAAAAGTAGAGAAACACCGGCAATCATTTTGTAATTGATTCATGGTCAAGTTTGACTTTTAAATAGCATTATTTTTAATTTGATAAGCTAACAGTGATTAAATCATGCTAAAACTTCCACATGGACTATCATGGATAACATGTATCTCAGGGAACTGATTTCAGAAACTTGCAACAAAATTTTCACAGCAAAAAACCATGAGACAAGGTAAAATCAGGAATGATTTTAACAACTGTGTCCCATACCCACCTGATCATGTTGGGCAGAAATTTGATGCATCCAGTATTTTTAATAATATTTAATTTACACTGTTTTGAACCACTCTTAGCGTTCATATTTTGCTGTTACTGGACAGCTAATTAGCAGTCCAGAGGCTGGTTGATGTGAAAATATAAACAAATGCCATCAATTTTGGTTGAACCCTAAAGCACATGCCATCAACCGAGACTGAGCCGCATTTTGCAGGAAGGAACATAGAAGTTGGTGCTTGTCTAGTAATTTACGGCTCGTGACAAACCAACAGACATGTTATTAGAATTAAAATTCTGAAGAAAGATTCGGATTCCCTTGCAAATTTCAAAATGTCAGCTATCTTGTTCTTAATAAAGAACTGCAGAAAATGAATTGTTTCTTTAAGTATCAAACAATGTATTAGTGTCAAAAACAATCATTATAAATGTTTTGTGACAGGCATTGCTAAAAGGTCCCATCTTAAGAAGAACTCTTTTTTATATAACTGAACAAGACATTCCAATGGTAATTCAATTAGCTTAATTTTAAAGGTTAAAATATTACTTAAGAAGAAATATAACAAAAATTTAACCAGCTACATCAAATAAAAAGAATATAAATACCTTCATTATTAAGGCGGCACATGTTTCTTTTTTTTTTTTTTTCAAATATTTCAAGCAAACTTTTTCAAATCTTAGTGTTAGTTAATTTTAAATTTCAGTCAATTATTTTTCATATGAAATCTAAAGCAGGTTGCAATAGCACAGAACAAACTTACATATAACGATACATAAAGTTAAGGAAACATTTGGTTTTAATATTTTTTACAGATTCATTTTTTTCCTGATTATGCAATTTAAATCCATACATTTTTAACTATAAAAATTTCAATCTTTTCCTCAGTCAATTAAAATGTCCCTAATATTTTCACAAATTAAACAATATATCCAGACATTTATATATTTTTAGTTATCTGAAAAATTTTGCTGACTTTTCAAGGTTATCCAGGCAAATAAACACTCTGTTAAAAATAAAAAAACAAGGTAATAAATTTAAATATGTACCAAACATTTCTTGTTTTAATTTCTCATTTCTTTCAGCAATTTCAGCAGGAAGAGTCTAAAACATAGAAGGATACACAGAATGTTATTTTACATTAATGCATTGAACATATAAATCAATGCCTACGGAGTCACAGCAGGAATTGAAACATTTTTGATTTCAGACAAAGTATTAAATCAGCTCAGAGAGTCAATTATTAAAACTCAGTTCAAATTTTAACTTTAATGTGATTTTATGAACATATTATTGCCATATTTGGTGTATTTTTGATCTAAGTTATTTACTAAGAGGGATAAAATTGTCCGCTTATGAGAGTGGTCCATTTAAGGGAAGGGTACACTAATAATTGCAATGATGTAGAAAAAGTTGAATAATCTTAAATAACTATTTACAATAATATTTATTTAAACTTTAAAAAATACTTTTTTCAGTAAAATATATGAATTTTTTTTTTATATATGTATACATAATTCTGGATGTAGCTCCAGCTTATATAAACAGACATTCAAGTTAGTTATATGATACGGAATAGGATCATTTAGTCCTATGTCACTTCCTTAGACAGTTTGACTATCAGGTTTACCCCCCTAACACCCCACCATCACTTGATAGGAAAAATGGTCTTTGAAAGTGCACCTCCCACTATGCACAGAAGCAGCAATGCATACTTGTAAGGCAGGAGGCTCTAGAGAGTTGTCTTATTCCCAATTGATCATCTGCCAAGTGTCTACATTAATGTTTCATTTATATGAACACCTCAATGACGAGATTTCTGCTCTCTTTTTTAACCCAGCAATGTGTTAAACATAGTCTCAGAAATGATAATAAGTATAAAGGCATTTTTAGTGGGGAAGAGAAATTGGGAGCATTTAAGACATCATATCAGCTATCAGCTTGTGGGGTCTTATAACCAGTATCCTCCAGATCAAAAGATGACACTTTCTAAAATATTTCACATTTTCTCACCCTTTCTTTGCAAAGGTAAAGGAAGGTGAAAAGAGAATTTATAGTTGTAAGATAGCTTAATACTTTCAGTTCTGGATAAGATTACATGCCGTCATGTGGGACTACTTTGTGCAGGATTTCGCAGTTTTTGAACTTTAGTAGAATTATCGATATTATATTCATAACTGGACTCAGACGAGTGAATTTGATCAATATTTGGCATTATTTGTATGTAATATTTACAAATAATAAGCCAAAACTTACCTTGCACAAAGTAGCCCCCAATTGGGGTACTTTGTGCAGTGATAGGAATTCAGTTTAATAATCATGTTTTTAGTAAAGTATTGATATAAAATTGTTAAAAAAGTTAATTGTTGACATTTTTAGTGACAAAAACATCAAGATATGTAACGATATTAGTTTGAAAATAATTTGCAGCGTTAAAAAACCATTTTTTATGAAGAATTTATTCTTAAAAAGAATGTTTATTTCAAAACATATGAGTTTAAACAAAAGGAAACCATATGCATTTTTGAACATTGAAATGGATGAAATTTCAAAAATAATAATTATTACATATTCATTAACATTTATAATATTGATAAATTTGAACATAACGTGCTTGAATGAACACGACAGAACTTGCTCTTCAGTTTCTGTCAAAATCACCTGATGTCCTATAAAACATATTTTTATGTGTTAAATCATTTGATTAATTCATTAGAAAACCTTTGTAGAAGAAAAATAATAGTTTACCAGCACGTTTCATGTGTTTCTTGTGAATTTCATTAGAGATAGTATTTCTGTGGATTTTGTACTTCCGAGAAGCTTCTGCAATCGACATACCACCAGCAACTGCTTGCAAACATTGTTGCAGCTTTTCTAAAGTGTAATAACGGTAATTTCTCGTTCGAGGTATTTTTTTATAACGGTTGACAATTTTTCTGTCGGAAAAATAAAAATGAATGAAACTTCGCACAAAGTAGCCCCACAGTGCATTCATTTTCATTTTCCGCTTATTTGTTAATAATTTTAAATTTTTTTTAACGCTAACATGATATAATTGTTTATTAATGTATAAATAAAAAATTTGCACTTACGACAATTGTTTTATCAACGTCTTTGCATTTCACAGCTAAAGTTTCCACGCACACTTTTCGACGTCCGACGTTCTCGGAAAGGTGTTGACATTGGATAAACAAAACACACTCTGAGATTGTTTTAAAATTCGAAAAAATGTTTGTAGTAATAGAGGAGACTTCTATCTTCAAATTCCACACATTTTTAACGTGAAAAAAAAACATAATACTGAATAACAGCACTTGAAAAGTGCCAAATTCAAATTTGCACAAAGTAGCCCCAAATGATGGTGCTTTAAAAATGGTTGCATATTTTTTGTCTTTAGAATTTAAAGCAGAAACAGTTTTTTTTCTAATTTAGAAAAATTGGCGTCCGGTTTGTAGAGATAGAAAATAACGTTTTAGAGAATAAATGACTGTCTGTGTCCAGTTACTGAAGCGTCTGTTTTGAGGAGAAGGTACATAATGGTTGATGCATAGAAGATACACAGGGAATTAAAAATATGTACATAATGAGAGGCATCTGCTTTGTAGGAGTGTTCATAATAGGAGGTTTCACTGTATAATGTACGTATATATATTAAAATATAAGTGGAAAAAAGTCTCGAAATTTCGTTTAGTTTTTTAACATTCAATGTTGGAATCAAAAAATTTAGGTCTTTTTCCTTTTGGTTGCGGACATAAGTATTTTATAAAATGCCTTATGAAATTCATTGCATCAAAATATGAAAAGCTTAATACTTTCAAAATTATACAGAAATTATTGAATGTTACTCTTTATGGAGTAATAAAATAAATAAAAAATACTTACAGCACATGCTTGCCTTGCTTCTGAATTATTTTTATCCAACTCAAGAACTTTTTTATAGTCCTCTAAACACCGATCCAAATTGTCCATCTTTTTATGAAGTTGAGCTCTTCTTAAAATGGCTCGCAGGTAATCCGGGTTTAGTTCAATTGCTACATAATTCCGATAAAAAAATAAATAAAATTGGAATGAAATACAAAAACATATAGAAAAACTTAGAAGTTCAAAAATTCTATGAGACTATATTTTAAAAGTTCACAGTTCAGGATTTTGTAAGGAAATACAATTAAAATTAATAAATCATTTTCACTAAACCATAACCAAGGTAAAATGTAGTTGTAGTATACCCCCCCCCATGTATCCAACTGAATATTACAGCACCGAATTTTAAATCATGTCATAAAAAATCATCTTGATTTTACTTCTGTAGGCAACTAATATTTTTAGTCCAACATGCTAGACACTGACATGACAACAGTGAGACTATATAGAGATACAAGAGTGACTGAAATTTATGTAAGATTTGATGATAAACAAAGGAATGTAGAATTAGAAATAACACCAAAGAATATGCAATTAGTGAAAGTTGTTGAATATTATGCATTTTGTATCTTAAAAACGAGAGTGGCGGTTCTGACCCAAAGTGAAAAATTATAGAAAAGACTATGCACATGCAGAAAAATAAAAATATATATCTACAACACATTTCAGGAAATTCAGAATTCAGCACAACATTTTTATTAAAAAAGAGAAATATAATTGGCATAAAATTACTTATTAATTGCTTTTATCTGCAAAAATAGTTTTAAAAGAATTTAAAACCCTTTACAAAAGCTTTTTTTATCGATTAATAATTTAAACATTTACGCACAAGATTTTAGTTTTTCTTATAAATAAATTGTTTTTTTAATAATTTTATGAAAAAACTCTATTATTACAGCAGAAATCATTTATAAATATCATGCATTTAACAAGAAAATAGATTTAATGAGTGAAATGGGATGTATTGCTTGGTACAATTTTATAAATGTATTAGAATATACTCTTTTAGTAAGCAACTTTTTCACCTTTTACTTTTTTTCATATTCAATCTTTTAAATTATTGAATCATAGTTCAAAAATTATTGACAACAAGTGCAGCCTTCAGAGAAAGAGAGAATGCCAGCCAATCAATCTCATTTCCAGAAGATAAAGAATTTTTTTTAAAAGGGTTTGTATATCCCAAGGGTAGAACCTAATTGGCTGCAAAAGCATATCTAGAAAATGCCCAAAGTAAACAGACACTTTCAGTAAATCTTCGCATGTGCAACAAAATGAGTATTCTCAATTACATTCCCACTTGTAGAAAATTATATATACTTTTCTATCCAAAATAAGTAGTGTGTCAAATTTTCTGATTTATGAAATTTAAAAAATTATGTAAATTTAAGATAGTCTCTCTCTCTCGTTTTATTCTTAAAAAAAGGATATCGAAAATTAAAAATAATTCGCAGATAGCATGATAATCTGTAATGCCTGCTGCTATGCTGTGAATGTTTGGCTGTCAGGCTTGGAACTAGTATTAACCTCTTAAAACACGAGCTTTTTTCGAAAAAACTGGCAAAAAAAAAAAAAAAAACGATTTAGTTCATTTTTGATCACAGAAAATGAATTTATGGGTCTGGGTGTGTAGCCAAATCTTTCGATAAAAAATAAACACATTTCAGGTATTCTTTAAGCACTGAAAAAATATTTTTAATTCCTATATACATTAACAAACTGCAAAATAATTTTCAAAGACTTTACATGATCATGATAAATCACTAGTTTCTGACAAAGAACTATTTTCTTAATTATATTAGCCACCATAAAAATATCGAGATTTTTCAGTTCGATTTCAGAGGGTGTAAAATGCAGCAGAATTGTACATGAGAATGCAAGAATCCTTCCCACTGAATACAACTCAGTATACGCACATGCGGACCTGCAAGTATTTAATCAAACTTGTAAAATGATTGGCACTTTCATATGCTACAGACCAATGGTACGGCAAAATGGATTGTGTGTGAATGAATTGTGAAACCGTTAAATAGAACAATGTGAAATCCAAGATTTTGCATAATGTGCAGCGAAAATCTCGTTTTCGAAAAGGGAAAATTAAGCACTTTTTAAAAACACTTAATAATAAAAGCACCTTTAAGGGCTTTTAAAAATGTAAAGCCAAAATAAGCACCTTTAAGCACTTTTTAAAAACGCTGCTATGCACTATGATGGGTATACTGTAAATTATTTCTAGCAATTTCATTTGTGTGTGTGGGGGGGGGGAACTAAGGAGCGGGGGTTGGTGTAAAAGTTGTAAAAAAATTACTGTTCAAAGTTTCAACAATTTTATTAGAGGTTCACTTTGAATTTCAAGATATTAAAATCAATTAAATCAACTCAAGGATCACCACTTTCATAGCAGAACTTTCTGATAAATTGGCATATTCAAAATCGTCAGAGTCACTCATTATCGGATAACTTTTTCAAAACAAGTAACAAAAACACTTCAATTTATGGTTAACTGTTTACTTTTATGATATTTAACACAATAAAAATGGATATATTACCTTTTTCAGACCAAACAAAGAATTCCCAACAAACTTATAGCTAATTATCAAATGCACCACACAAGAAAAATACTGTATAGCAGTGTCTTTAATGGTGAATAAATTTAATTATAAACTAACATATCCATTTTTACTAGAACGGATCTCAGATGGGCATTAGAAATAAAATAACATGAGATACAAGATAGCCGTGTGAGACATGGGCAAATGCATTACAGGTTCATTTTGCATTGAGATTGCACTGGTGAAGCAAAATTTTGAATTTGTTTGACGGATTTAATTTTCATTTGTTGCAGAGCATACTATTTTATGACTCACTCGTTAATTTTCAAAATAAGCTTAAAACATGATTTAATAAAATAAAAATATATGTTTCAGTATAAAAATAGCAAATTGAAGAAAAATTTAAATAATAAATTTTGAATTTTGCTTGAATGTTGTTCTTTACATCTATTTAAGTGCCTTAGTATGAAATTTTTTCTAGATAAAAATATTGTTAAATGTTCTTCAATGAAATATTTACAATAAATGTATCTAAATATTTCTTTTGAATTTGCATTCACAAAATAATAATAATAAATTCCCTATATAAAATGCAGATTCTTAATAAATATTTTTCTTCAAATCAATCGGACAAAATATACAAGATATAGTTTTAAAATAATAATAATAAAAAAGATGTTCTAGAAAACAAACATTTAAATTAATAAACAATAATTTTAAAACATCCTTTACTTTACCTTCCTTTACATATTGCTTCATCCAAACTTTAAGGATCATACTCAAAATTTTTTCCTTCCTAAAGTATTTGACTTCAAGATTTTAAATTTAATATGCAGCCAAAGTGATATTTTAAAAAAAATAAAAATAAAACATTTTAATAAAAATTCTTTGAGTCTTAATTTTATGTCAGTTTTTCATTTTGAAAAAAAAAATTAAGAAAATTTGTTTAACTTTTCATTAATTATATGTAAGGACAGAAAATGTTTGTAAACAAAATTATATTACTCAAGATTAATTTAATTAAAAAATTAATTTCTAAATATTTCTATGAATAGCGACTTTTTTAAAATAATGATTATACACTTTCATAAACTTATAACTTATAACTAGTATGAACTTTTATAAACATTTTCATCATACAATTTTCGATACAAAATATGAAAATATTTTATAGACACATACTAGAATGTATATTAAAAAAATTACCTTTATTACAATCTAATAGAGCAGCATCTTTATCGTCCTAAAATTAAATACAAAAAATTTTTTATCTATTTTTAATAAATTAAAAAGACATTTAAGATAATGCTAAACTCATAAAAAGGGGAAAAGAATTCCCTATCCTAAACATCATAAGGGCATAATATTTTTTTCAAACATACTCTGATTTTCAGCCATTAAAAATATTATAAAAATTAGATATAGTTTTTAAAATTAAAAATGTTGTTTAAAAACATACTTTTGAAAATGCAACTTATCAGCAAATCTCATAACAAGTGTTTAGTAAAAATTAATTATTGCAGAACTTATTTGGTATATTGAAATTTATTGTAGATTTTAAAATATTTCTTGACCTATAATGCCAGTAAATGCAAAGGTAATTTCAATAAACTAGTCTGTATACATATTTTTTCTAGAGAGGGGGTAGATAATATTTCTAAACACATCACCTTTTTCCTCAATTTAACTAATATTTAAGATTTACTATTATAATAATAAAATTTTATTTCAATAAAAAAAAACTTTTAAAGAAATAACTTTAAATTGAATACCAATTTTCAGAATTTGAAAATCAGTCAAACCTTTTTAATAATCTCATAATTACATAACACCATTGTCAACTGGACATTGGATACTGGAATAATAGGTGAATGTGGTTTTATTCAGGAAGTAGTTTTATTTACACTCATTGAAATTCAGAAGTAACTAGTTACCACATTAAAAACCTCTCAAAATACATTATACACTTTTACATTCTAACAACTAAATATAATTTAATTTGCCTCTGTCATGAAGAGGAGAAGCAATTATTTTGAGCTAAAATTTCAATCTTCAATAAGGTTTAAATCATGTCTAAATAATGATACATTTGAAAACCATTAAAATATTTGAAATTTTGCGTGACATTGTTTCTTTTATTTTAAAGATTTGGTTTCAGTTGAGTATCTGTTTTTAATGGTGAAAATTTAAAGGTTTACAATGCTTTCACTTTAACAAGGTTCCACACCTCAGGGGTCGGAAAACAATTTCCACATTTGACGAGGGGTGGCTCATTCTTCTTAAAATGTGTAGCTGTATTTTTCTGTATAGAAGTTCAAGAAGTTTTAACTATAATACTACACCATTCAAATTTAAAAAAATAATTTTTGGCATCATTTGATGGAAAGAAGGCACAAAAACTGTAAGCATAAAAATACTCTTGTACAGTCAAAATCAAGAAAAAATTATTAATTTTCAAATTATATAAATTCAAATAATTAATGACTTTTAAAAAATACTTAATGCTTAATAGTTATTAAATAAAATTTGAAACAAAACATAAAAAGATAGGTAATTATTTTTCAAAATAATTTTTTTTTCTACACGCATTCTTTCTTAATTATATTTACTTGGTAATATGTGATAAATATTTTATCAATACAGTAAAGACATAGAAAGAAATTATGAAAAGTTCTTAATGTATTGTAACTAAAATAGGAAGAAAAAAATTAATATCTGTTCAAATTATAAATTCTTATCTTAAATTTGTAAAATGAAAACATTTAGCAAAAAAAATAAATTATATGACAACTTTTTCTTTAAATTATACCTGTTTAGGTCAACATAAATAAATGAAAGACTTACAAGACCAATTCTTGCAGCAGCTCTGTTTGAATAAAGTATTGAGCGTTCATTCTGGCACTTTAGAGGACACAAAGTCAAAGCTCCTGTATAAAGAACCATAGCTTCTTTGAAATCCCCAGCTTTGAAGCACTCATTTCCAGACTTCTTCAGATTTAAAGCTTCAATTTTTTGTTTCTAGTGAAATATAAATATATTACAAAACAGAAGTCAATAGTATTTAATAATTTTATCGTGAAAAACAGTCTCTACAAACTGATTAAGAGTAATGAAAGCGAGATTTTACGGAAGGAGACGACATAGTGAAACTGATAAATGTTGTATTCAAATTTTCACGTGATTTAATAAAAAGTTCTTTATTCTTAAAAAAACTTAATTGCTATAACATATTTTCCTCTAATAAGTTATAAGATTCAGTATTAGAACATTTTGACAACAGGTCATTGTGAGCCAGGGGGTCATGGAGATCGAGCAACCATTGAGGGTGTTTCACAATAACAGCTGAGGGTTGGCATATACGTCAAAATATTCCTCAAGTTTTGCTGACTTCCAGGCAGGGGCCCACAGGGAACCAACTCAACAATTATAACTCATAACTAGGGCTGCAGCAAGAATATCCGCAAAATTATAATCCTTTTTTTTTTTATAAAATCCGTGAAATTCTCGATATGTTTTGATTTGTGCGAAAATTGCTTAAAATGTGAATTTTTTCTTTTATTTTTAATTTTTTTTTTAATTTAGCATAATTTTTTACTTTCTTGAAGCCTTAAATTGAACATGGAAAATTGATTTGATATTTAGGGGAGTAAATCAATAGCAAAATGACAAGAAAATAGTTCAGCGATAACCACCATCTTGTCAAGTAAGGTGGTCTTTCTACACTTAGGGAGGGTAATAGACTGATAGGATTACCTTCCTGAAGTCAGTAAGAGTAGAAAAGAAATTGGAATCACAAAAGAAGGAAAATGTTATAAATCAAATCTTTGACATAAAAATTATTACACAGGCTATTGCAATATGCAATGAAATTTCTACTGCCTTCTTACATATCCAGAAAATTTTTTCTGGGTGGCTCCTTGTGATTTCTTAAATAGGGATCAGTTTCTTAGATGAGAGGGAGATAATGCTTTTGTAACTAGCAGTTTAAATGTAGAATGTTTGTGTTTTCACAGCAATTACTTCTTACAAAGCAACGGTCAAGGAATTGTGCATTGATGAAGGAAAATTGATAAAATTTTGGAAATCAAGGACTAAACGCTATCCAAAATTGGTAATTTAATGTTTGTCGGTGCCTACAAACAGTGTGGACGCAGAAAGATCGTTTTCTAAGTATAAAAATGTATTAAGTGATGAAGGACGAAGCATAAATGAGAATAATCTGACAATATACAACATTTCTTACCAAAATTTTGTTAACTTAAATAAAAATATAAATATTGCTTGAAATTAAATGAAATACTTTTGTTCTGTATTTTTTAAGCTTTCTTTATTATTTGCACAATTTCTGTCTTTTGCATCATTTTTATCGTAAATTTTTTATATTTAGAATCTGTGCAATTTTCCTTGAATTTTGGGTCTTTTTTCCAGCAACAAACTTGCAACCCTACTCCTGACCACCCATGGACAACCTATAAATATATTTTATAAATTTCTGCAAGTTAAAAAACCCTTTGGCGCCTTGTCAAAGATAGTAGGCATGAAAAGATACTGATACAGAAATATCTCCCAACCGAGTTTCTGAACCATCGAGTCATCGCCACATTTAATCAATGTGGCGACGCCTAGATGATTAAGAAACTCAAGGTATATTTCTGTATCGTGATCTACCAACTACAATCGCCAAGGCGCCATATAGATTTTAAACTTGCAGGTTTTTTTAAAAAAAACATGTAGATGTTTGCCCGGGAGTAGTTACGAATTGGTCCCTTTCAGTGGTGTTTTTTTTTTTTTAAGTTTCTTGCAGGCCGCTGCATGAAAGTTGCCATGACTTGGCGATTATTCTGCCACAGATCACGATACGGAAATATCCCCTGGTTGCTGCTAAGAGTTTTTCACGAAGGCACCAATATGGAATTCTTCCTCCAGACTTGGACGACTCGTGTGCCATTAAGAATGAAGTGCATAGGTTTATGAAATAAGTAAATTAATAATTTATTATCACCAATACCAACCAAAAGTACACATAAACTTATATCTAAACTCATTTAAACAGCTACCTCTAGTTCATCTTCAGACATGTCCTTCTGAGCTTTCAACAACTCCTCTTCGTCTACTTCAAAATCGTCCTCACTTTCAGATTCACTCTCATTAGCATCGAAAAATTCTTCATTAGTTTCAGTTTCTTGATGTGAATCAAGAATTTGATTGTCATTAGGAATACACTCTTCAACGCTACTCATGTTAAACGAATCTTTATCAACAGTATTTGAAGCAGTCGAATTACTATTGTTTTCCATAATTCTAATTAAAAACTTCCGAATACCGTAAGAGTAATTAATAAGAAAATATTTCAGCTAAATAATTGTATAATTTTTTTCAATAACCAGGGCCTTCGTTTTCAAGAAATAGAATTAATATTCTGTAAGAAATCTTTAGTCACTGCTGTTTTATTATTGGTGTTAGGCAAGCATTCTCGAAGTTTTTACTTATCTTATTATTAGCTTATAGCTAGCATCGATATGATCACAAGCAACATCCCATCTCAGTCTAATTGTTTTTCATGCAAGCTATAAGCAAAGCAATGAAGCAAAACGTAACCATCATCGCAAACACGGGAACTTCGCAAAAGTAAACAAACTACGTAAATAATCTAAATAAGATTAGTTTTACAATTTGAATTTGTGATTATATTGTGGCGCATTTATGTAAGAACCCTTTGCTAATTTCATATCTCTTTTTCATCTATAATGAGTATATGGTTTCGATTTAACATCCGATATTAAACATTTTGTGAAAACTTAGCGTTGAACTGGAAAGTTTTAATATTAGAAGAAGCTATCTTCAATAAAAGCATATGGTTTAATCCCGTGCTTTTGATGTTAGTTAGTTAAATGTAGCTAAGTTTTAAGCGTAAAAAAAATTTTTTTTTCGGAATAAGCTTACGATAGGGAGCTCCTCTTATTTTGGAAAATTTTTATGATCTTTCATGAAAGAGAAAATAACTTAAAAGTGAAATTTTCTCATTTTCTCTTAATACAAAATCACGATAAAAGAAATAATAATAAAAGAATGACACATCCCATACACAGTAAACCTCAAATTTATTATGCCGAATTTAAGGGACACCCTATTGAATGCTAACTTTTTTTCTCCCATTTTTACGAAGGAATTAATTTGTAATTATCTTCCTACTTAAAAACTGTAATTAATTTGAAAAAGCCTTAAAAAAGACAGAGGATACAAAATCAATGTTGTTACATAAATATGCCTTAAAAAAAACTAGATCACTCTTAAAATAACACACAATGTAGTTTTTTTATATGATTGGTCTCTGTTAAACTAAAAAAAATTTTTTTTCTCTTTATAATCCTATTGGACTACTATATTAAAATTTTGCACAAACATTGCTAAAAGGACTACCATATATTTGAACTACTACAACGCATGATTTATTTTAAGAAGCTCGTCTCTTTTTCATTGTATAAAACATTTCAAGCAGATTAGCCATACTTTAAAATAAGATGTATCATTAATAATAAAATCATGTTATAAGGAATGCACAACGTTTGTTTGATAGTGGGACACAAAAAATAAAAAATGTAAAATTTACTTAAATTCTAATTAAAAGTAGCATGTATGAAGCACATAGTGAAGTGTAAAAGTTGTAAGAAATTACATTTTCCTGCAAGTATAGAACTCATAAATATAATTATAACTTGAAAAATGAAATAGTTATTCTGAATGGTTCAAGCTTGCTGTATCTTAAGTAAATAAAAGAGCAGGATGAAGAGAATTTCTAATACATTGATTTTTTTTCGAGGCTGAAGAAAAAAGACTTTTAATTTTTACATTTTTGTTCATAAAAATGCTTTCCTTTATATTTTTTTAATAATATTAAAAATTTGTAATAAGCAAACAGGTCTGCAGACCTTAGGTTGTGCATACCTCAGTAATTCTGTGAGAATAATTGTTAAATATGAATGAATGTTAAATCTGAGTTGAAATTTGATTATTAATTGATTATTCAAATAATTAAAACCAAATTAATACATCAATCTAGCTCAGAATTATTTTCATTTTCTCTTTCTGTTATAAACACAGAAAGATAAAGTTTTGTTCAATTTTGCCCATGAAAGTTTTGGTGTGCCATTTTTGTATTTCCCTCTTCTATTTTTTATGATGGAGTATTGTGCACCCTCTTATGGGTTTTGGCATATTTAATGCTCTACTTCTACTGTGTTCAGCAGATAGGCTGAATTGTTGCATCCCTAATATTATTGTAGGTTTAGTTTTATTTATGTATTTCATTAATTGTAAAATTCAATTATAAAGCAAAGCACCTTCCTCATCTAAAGTATCAAAAGCAACTTGCAAAAAGATTTTCTCTGGAAGATCTTAATGATGCATTTGTTTAAAAATGTTTATCCTCTCACTGAGAACAAAAAAGATAGTTTTGTTCTATCAAGTGTTGTACAAAATACAGACCATTAACAGATTCAGTGGAAAAAGGATCAACTGTAACATTTGTAGAACTTCAATTCTCTGTGAAGAAATGACTATTTAAATTTGAAATTAGTTTTTATGTTACTAGAAAAATGGTTTATGAAGTTGTTTAAAAAATATTATTTTCGTTATTTATGTATATTGTGTAAGGTTGGGAAACACTGCAGATAATTATACACATAATCACTGAATGTCCCCAGGGCTAAAGAGAATACAAGGGCTAGTTCACTCCGCTCTTAGAGCTGAAGCTACGATTTCACTCCTCATGACGTCACTGTGTCTACAGATCTCGGAGATCGCAAGCAAAGATATGATAACTCTGCATCTTTCTCTTGTAAAAATAAGTTAGACTTTTTCTGGTTATTAGCCTTCAAACTTTACGTAATTAACACATTATTTCCGTTCATAAACATAGTTCAAAAAAAACTTTCTTGGTTATTATATTAAAAAAATACCATTTTAAACTTATAAAAATGTTTTGCTAGTTGGTGAAAATGACACGATAAATACTTTATTTTAAAAAGTTCAGTTTTAACTTTAACTATTAAGAAAAATGAAGGCATATATCGACACTTTTTTTATCTACATATTCTTTTATAAAGATAAGTTAAGTTAAATTTAGAATCCCTGATTTTAAAATATGTCGTTAATAGCAATTTGTTCATACTTAATCATTAGGAAACATCAACCTTAAACGCTAATTACTGAAACAAAATAATAATTTAGGTTCATAATGACATTAGAAATTTTACAATTGTTTATAGACATTTAAATTTACGATGATATAATATATAGATATTTAAATTGAAGAGAATATAATTTTTAAAAAAAATCATAAATATTTAGAATAACTACATTAAAAAATATGTTATGAAATTAGGAGAATTTCAACTATATACTATATATTTTATTTATACTTTTTACTTACATTTTAATTTTCTTTGACTTTATCTATTTTTTAATTCTTTTCACCTGCCTTTCTTTATGAAGTAGCGAGGCGGTTTCTATTTAGATAATGAATTTTTATAAAAGTTCTTTACGACAGAATAAACGTATTGCGGTTTTATATTAACTGTGTCATTTCGGAATCCATTCTTTACATAGTTGTTCATTTACTTTAGGGAACACGCGAAAAATTATACTTTTTCCTTTTGTTTTTATATCAGAATTTTTGCAAGTTGCAATCGCGCAAACTGGCATTTCGATAATAGTTTTAAATTCTTGTAAATTCACTGCAAAAACTGAGGAAAGTCATTATAGAAAATAACAAATGTCTTAGAATATCTCGCAAAAAGAAATGATCCAATATTAGTTAGAGCTAGTAAGGCCAAACGCTCCGTTCTTGAAGTAAAAGTGCGAGCTTTGCGCCAAAGTGACGTCACTAGAGTGACGTCAGAGGATCGGCGCGGCAAGAGATACTTCAAAGGAGTGAACCAGCCCTTCTATTCTCTTTAGCCCTGGAATGTCCCTGTCTGATAAATCTTATGCAACTCTCCATCGATTGCAATTCTAAGATTCCTCTTTTAGCAAATTTACCCTGCTTATCCAATTCAGTAGACTGAGAAAGAGCTGTATCCTAATAGGGCTAAATTTTTGTAAGACAGGGACATTTTTTGAAAGAATGTTTAGTTTTTGGACTTTACTTAAATAATCAGTGTGATCTGACTAATAGATTTTATATGATAACTTAGTTGTAACATTTAAAACTGCAATATTCAAAAAAAATTTTACTGAGACAGGGGAAAAAAACTATAGGTGTTTATTTTTGTTTAAAGCGTTTATTGTAAATATTATTATTATTGTTTTTTTTTGTTGTTATTTTTTGTTTTGTTATAAAGAATAAACTAACATATGTTTCAAAAATAAGAAAAGTCAAAACTTATTGAACTAGTTTGTAACAATTTATAAAATTAAATTTAAGGTTCCACTCATTAACTTAAGAAATTCAAACTAATAAATAAACAAATGGCTATGTTAGCGTCAAATTTTATCATAACAGAAAATATTTCACAATTTTAATAAATTGCCACAGCCTTGTCGCATAATTTTAAAAATATTTTCACATTTCTATTTATGTGCTTCTTTAATGACTACTAATGTGTCTAAATTTTGTTTCAGCATTAGTAATTGAATATTATGCTTGAAATGTGTACTAATTATTTCTTTGCTATTCCAGATAGTCTTTGATATGGGGTTTACCCTTGCTAACATCCTGAGCAGGCGTTTAATGAGGAATGTTCCCAATTCTGTGCAATCTCTTGCAGCATTTCATGGAAAATCAAGAATTGGTGACAGGGATATTGTGGGATTTGGAATGAATGGTTCTTACACTTACATTGATAGAGTGGATTATCCCATGCCTGCTATACGTTTTAGGGAAAATACTCCCGAATCAAAAGCATTGAGGGAAAAAGAAAAAGAAGATTGGAAGAAATTGACTCTTGAAGAGAAAAAAGCACGTAAGAAATTATCCCTTCTTATGAAAATTTCTATTAAGTGTGAATTCTATTTAGTTAGAAATCTTTAGGGAAAAAATCAGAAGACTGTCAAATTTGAAAAATATCTCCCCAACTCCTGAAAAATAATAAAATCTGCTGAATTTTAAAAACATTTCAAATATAAGAAAATTTTGTAAAATTTTGCTGTTTAAATTTTTTTAAACGTTCACACTCATAATTTCTATTCTTATTTGATAAGGTGGGGGAGAATAGAAGAAAAAAAAAAGAACTTGTTAAGTACATCTACTATTAAAATGTCTAGTTATGGGGAGAACTGAAACAACAATTATAATGCCTAGTAATTTGCTTATGTAATATTGTAGCTTCAAAATCATCCTTTTACAGTTGCTACAGCATTATGAACTCTAAAATGTATCCAATTGTGACATTTTAATGAAATAATTTCCCAAATTAAAAATGGATTGTTATGCACTCCAATTTCTCTTAATTTGTTTTCAATGAAACCTTATTGTAATCAATACATTTTTGAAGCATCAGATCTAAAATGCTTTATTATGATAAGTAAAAATTTGGCTCTTCTAGCTGGCTAAAAAATTTGTGTACATATAGTAAATGCATGAACCTGTGCTTATAAAATTCTAATGCAGCTAGAATTTAATGTTACCAGAATTGTAATTCAATGACAGTCATTTGCTACTTTTCTGATTTAATTCGCAATAAGAAGGAAAAGTTCCTAACTACTGCATAATTTCCTATTTATGTCACAAATAGTGATGTATACTCAAAATTTCTATTCTCCAATGTGACTGTCTGATACTAATATCTAAGAAAAGATGAAAATAGTTCATGATCTTTGTTTGCGCCAAAACTTTCTATCTGTAATTCTTTGCGAGCAACCTGAAACAACAGAAAAAACTAATAATATTTTTTTAATACTTTATTTAGTGAATTAGTAATGGGAAGTCAAGTGAGCCATCTATTAAATAAAAACTAGTTTACGGACATCCTTTGAAAAATCAGGAGAAATGCCATGGAATTTAAATTTTTTGAAGAAAAATAAACTAAAAGATCTATATTATCGAAAATATAATCTAGCATGCTATATTAAGAACCTGTGACAAAATAATTAGGTATCTGAAATAAGAATAAGAACAATTATTAGCTATCTGAAATGTTTCCTGGCATTTCAAGGTTTATATGAATTTACTTTGTCTTTGCAATTTTTACCGCACAACTTGGGGTTTTCAAAAATGACTTTTTATCAATCTATATAAATTTTTTCATATCAATCTGACCAACACTTCACTCTCTCAACGCAGCACTTCCATTTCACTCTGTCAGCAAAATTTTACTATTTGTCTTCATTTATTTTAGGCATATTGAATTTGGCATAAACTTAATACAGATATCTGCAGTTGTTTTTTAAATTTTGCAGCTAAGTGTTTTTGAAAAGTTTTATTTTTATTTCAGATAGCTAATAATTGTTACCCTATATGCCATTTATATTTAGACATTCTATGTAGAACAAAGCTTAAAATAGTAAAATTAGTAGTAAAGTGTTACATAGGGATGCAGTTATTGCTACGGCAGTTATTGCTACGTATTTCCGCGTGGCTTTTAAAATTTCGATGTTTTTAGCACAATATTATTATGGATCGCGAGTAACGAATCGCTCATTTAGCTAACCATTTTTTGACGTGGTGTATTTGTGCCGATTTTATCGCAAATCAAATTATTTAGGAATCGATATTTTGGCAATTATTGCTACACATTTCTACAAGGTTTTGAAAGTCTTAAATATTTCACTTTTTGACGTGCTTTACTTATGCTGATTTCATCCTAAATATAAAAGGATTTTAATAGTTAATACTACGCTTTTCCACGCAATTTAAAAAATCTTGTTATTTTTATTTTATTACTGTAGTTTCACGGCACGTAAGTTTTGAATCGCGCATTAAAATAATAAATAATTATGTGCTCTGTGCCGATTTTAATATGCATATAAAAAAAATTCTAGCTCTTTTTTCTTCTTTTTTTGCCGTTAATTCTACTTGCAATTTAAGAGTCGCACATCATAATTCGTATTAACATTAACAAGATTTAAAAATCATCCATCACGATTGGTATTCACTAGATTTAAAAACACAAATCGCGATTCGTATTTTGGCGTTTAAAAATAATATATTGTAATTCTTTTCACAATTCAAAAATCATGCACCGCGATTCATATTCTCATGACTTAAAAATCACATATAGTGATCATATTCACGCGTCTTAAAAATCACACATCTCGATTCGTATTCCAATTTAAAAACCGCGCTTAGCGTTTTTTATTCACGCAATTTAAAAACCACCCATAGCAATTCGTATTCAAGCGATTTAAAAAGCTGGAAAGAAAGAGCACCATTTGGGACAAATTCCCAAACTGATTAAGTTATTTTCCCAAAGTTTAATATTGCCCACAACAACAGCTTCTGTCGAAAGACTGTTTTTCAAAATGAATTTGGCATGTTCATGAGCAGTGTTTAAACAGAAGCAGTCTACAGAGCAGTGTTTAAACAAAATCATTAAATTTTCATTTAATCGCTAGAAAAAGTTAACACATGATCAAGTAAATATAACTATCACTATGTTCGAAAATTTTGCAAATTGAAGGATAACCATTAAGAAATTTTTTAATCCATTTTCTAAAAACACGGACCATTTTATATCATTTATGATCAAATACTGGGAAATGATTTGTATGTCATTAAATCTTAACAGTAAAAAAGTGTAATCAAGATAAGTATCATAAAGTAATGTAAATTTTAATTAATTGTTAATATATGTATATTAATTGTAAATAGAGTTATATGTTAAAAAAAGTATCGTATTAGTTTTTTATTATTAAGGAAAATAGTTCCTTCAAAATGAATGTTTTCTTTCTTTCTTTTTCTTTCCTCTCTCAGCCACTGCCTCTTATAATTTATTTAAAATAAATATTTTAAAGTTGGAGTACTAAATGTTGAAACTTATTTTGAGCTGAAAGGGTTCTGTTTTAATTCTAATCATTTTTGACCCTATATAAACTTTCTTTAAATCAAAGTATTTAATTTGCATTTATTTTAATAATTAAAATATTTATTTATTTTTAAAAATTTAATTTTTTGAGCAAATTTTTTAATGTTAGAATTTTGCTCTTTTTATCATGTAATGTGATAAAAAGAGCATAAATTTTCCCATTGTTTTTAATGATTTCAATTTATCTGAATTCTGATAAATTAATTCTGATTCTGTTTTATTTTCTAAGTAATCAGTTTTGCAGTTTCTAATTTTAACATTTAAAAGTATTTAATTTTATGCTAACATTTTACAAGGTTAACTGATAAAAAGAATTAGTGCCTGAAACAATGATATTTATATAACAATTACTACCTACAATTGCTGTCAACATGTTTGTCTAAATACTTTGGTATGCAGCCCATCGTTGGTCAATCTCCTGTGCATGTGGCCCTTCACTCAAAAAGGATGTGAACCTCTTGTGTAACATAATATCTTTGTTTCGTTTTCCATAAAAGTATTGTTGAACATTAGAGGAGAAATAATAGTATTTTTATGTTAGTAATCTTTTACTTCTGTTGTGTATATATATGTACATACACAGTGGAGCGTGGGTTTTACATTGTACGTCAAACACTTTGTATAATATCCTGCTTTCTGCATCATTTTTGCTGGCCTGGGAAAATAATTGCCGATAGCCATAATCTTAAGTTATCCTGGATTTCATATTTATATGCCTTTCTAACTGATCAATTTTTTTTTTAAAAAAAAGGAGAGACATGTTTAATAGCTATGTAAAGATGTTCTAATATTTTTTCGATTCTATCTTATTTTCCTTTTGTCTATAAAGGGGGATTTCACCTTGAGTCACAATCAGAAGTGTCAGGACATAGGCGAAACATAAGGAAAGTGGTAAAAGGAAGCATGGGAGCTTAAGTTGTAAAATTTGCGGGTGGAAATTTTTCCAGCAAATTTCAATCTTTAAATCGTTGAACAATTAAATCTTTTTAAGAACCTTACACTAAACAACTATTTAGGTAATCATTTCATTTTCTTAATTCCAGTTACTACTAAAGCAAAAATAAATATTCTAGAAGTCCTGAATTCCATTTCTTCAGCATTACATAATGTCGACTAAAATGCATTTTAAATTAATGTAATGAAGCAGACTTCTCGCTATTTAAAGGGAACATCTGACCTTTGGAAGATCTTCCGAAGTAGGTGACACGACTGCAACACCTTCAATATCTGATTTAATACTTGCTCCCAATGATAGTAATAAAAATGATGAAGATTAGTAAATACTGGAGGATATACTCACAACTTTTTATGCTTTGAAACTCTTGATCAGAAATTGTGAAACAATATTTATTAGTGAATGTAAACAAAAAAGGCCAATTCGCAAACAATGGGGAGTATTACGAGGTATAGTGTTAAAATTTTATCTAAGCCGAAAATGAGTAAAGATTACACATTTTGTCTATAGTTTGTCTCATAAGTGCCAATTTTTGAAAAATACGCTTGGATTTTTCCCACACCCCGATTATATGTTTTCATGCGTTTTTAACATCTAGACAGACAGAAAACGTAAAATCGGGGTTTCACTGTGTGTATATATATATACACCGAAAAGCCATTACATTATGACCACCCTCCATCCATAACAATGGGCTAGACCAGGTTTTCATAGTTTTTCGCCCAGGAACAATGTTTTCATGGGGCACATTAGGACCCATAATCCTTATAGAAAAATCCCTGACGTCTATAAGCTACTTGAACATAGTTGCAGACCAGGTTCATCCATTCATGGCAACAGTTTTTCCTGCGGGGGATGGTGTTTACCAACAGGATAATGCACCATGTCATAAGGATCGAATCGTCATGGATTGGTTCGAGGAACATTCCAGTGACTTTCAAGTCATGCCTTGGCCCCCAAATTCACCTGACCTTAATCCAATAGAGCATTTGTGGTCCTACTTGGAAAACCAAATTCGTGCTGCCGCGCTACCCCCTCCCAATGTGAGGGAATTGCAGGACCAGTCGGTGAGCGCTTGGTACCAGATACCTCAGACTACCTTTCAGCACCTTGTGGAATCAATGCCACGGAGGGTGCTAGCAGTTTTGAGGGCTAAAGGTGGTCCTACAT